ATATATATATATATATATATATATACACACATACTGTATGTTCAACATTTATCCATATTTGCTGCCCACCAGGCTGAATTTTCCAAGGGGCTTCCCAGATGAGTACTCCTTTATGACCACCTTCCGCATGATCAAGAACACTGTCAACAAGGTGTGGAACATCTGGCAGGTGGTGGATGAAGACGGTTTGAAGCAGGCAGGTATGCGTCTGAATGGAGAGCAGCAGGCCCTGGAGTTCTTCCTCACCACTATGGAAGGAGATGTGCAGACCGTCACCTTCCCAGGCCTTTCTGTCCTCTTCAACACTAAATGGCACAAAGTGATGGTTGGTGTAGAGAAGGAGTTGGTAACGCTGTATGTGGACTGTCACCCGGTGGACCAGAAACCCATCAAGAGGAAAGGCTATGTCAACACGGAGGGAGACACTCTGATCGGAAGACTGGATTCTGATCCCAACACCTCTGTAGTGGTGAGAGTCACCAGTTCAGTCTTGAATATTTACTAATATACGTATTTAACTTTCCTAAATGTTCTGATTTTTCCAAAATGAATATTTTGGAACTTATACTTATATCTATAATTTGCATGTAAATGATGTAGAAAAAAATAGATTTGCATGTAAATGATGTAGAAAAATTTATTGAATTGGCTATTTAGTTAGTTAGTTAGCTAGTTAGTTAGTTAGTTAGTTAATAATAATAATTGTCCATTACGATATGAATAGTAGAAATCAGAAAAATAAGAAATTAATAGTAATTTTTTTAGATATGTTTAAAATGATGTAGTCACATGCTATTAATTACATGTATTGTACATGTCTTTCTTTGGAAGGGTTAATTATTTCTAACATTTAAGTTTTGGAAGGGTTAATTCTTTGTAACACTCAAGTTTTGGAAGGGTTAATTTAATTTTCTGTGTGACTGTCACACTGTTAGATATGTTTAAAATGAAGTATTGCATTGGCTATTTATTTACGTGGCATTACTGTGGTTTGAGTCATTGAGACATTCTCAGTCGCTATTTACCAGTTTTTCTTATCATCTGTTTCTCTCTCCTGTGGGGTTCCTCAAGGGTCAATATTGGGGCCATTACTCTTTAATCTGTACATGCTTCCACTCGGTAATTTAATTAGGAAATATAACATGTATTTTCATTTCTATGCTGATGATTCTCAGCTATACGTTCCATTAAAATCTAGACATTCTCTGCAGCCTCTCATGGACTGTCTTGAGGATATTAAATGCTGGATGGCAAATAATTTCCTCCAGCTTAACAATGAGAAAACTGAGGTGATCATCTTTGGTCCCTCCAAAGCTAGAAACTCTATAGCCAGTTACTTAAACAATCTTACTCCATATGTTAAGTCACATGCAAAAAATGTAGGTGTTATCTTTGACTCTGAGCTTTGTCTTGAAAAGCAAATTAGAGAATCCTTTCCAGACTTAAATTGACACTTTCCTTTCAAGACTTGGACAAGGTAATTTATGCATTTATCACATCACTGGCTTCCTGTCTTTTTTAGAATTCAATTCAAAATGTTGCTGATTGTTTTTAAAGCTCTTTATGGACAAGCCCCATCTTCCATCTCTGATCTTTTTTTTTTTTTAAATTCAGCTCTTAAATCCCTCATATCTGCCAGTAAGGCTCTTTTGTATGTTCCACAGTCACAACTTAAATTGAAAGGTGACATAGCCTTTGCAGTTGCTGCTCCACGGTTATGCATTCAGTTGCCACCTGACATTAAGTGTGCTTCTTCTATTTCTGTTTTTAAATCTAGACTTGAGACACATATTTACTCTATAGCCGTTCCTGGTTGTTAACGCATGGATTAGTAACTGTTATCTTTTACGATTGTTCTGTACAGCACTTTAGTCAGTGTAAGCTGAATTTAAATATACTCTATAAATAAAATGTACATACTTTTTTCTAAAATAGAATTTTTTGGGAAGGGTTTTTTTAGGGTAATTTAATTTTTTGCTTAGGTTTTGCAGTGGATCTCTACTGTATTTAATGAATGTTACTGTCACCCTGCACCTATCAAATCCATCAAATCCTGTTACAGTCTTTACCTGTGATAAATGTGACTTGTCAGTCTGTGTAACTGTCACACTGTCTGATATGTGTTACCATCAGTCAGCGTAACTGCCAGATTGTAGGACCTCGGCACCTTGTAACTTCCTGTCCAAAGGACAGATAAAAATAAGTCTCATAGTGCTGTCAGTCACATCTTACAATGAAAATCTAATTCTGATAAATGTAAATCATAAAAGCCTTGTGGTTTAGGATTCAGTAATGTAGTCAAATAAAGAAATAACTTGATTGTTTTGTGTTTTTTCAGTTTGAGTTGCAGTGGATGCTGATTCACTGTGACCCAAAGAGAGCTCAGAGAGAAGGCTGTACAGAACTTCCTCCGTCGGAGGTAACTATGCTTTTATCACTTCCAGTTTTGTCTTAAATGAGAAGCTGACCAATCACAGTCTTTTGTTGTGCTTAACCACTTACATATGGAAAAATCAGGCCAGTTACCTGCTAAAAGTCTGAAAAGTGGTTTGTTGGTCTTCTACCCTTATCAGCAAGCACTCAAAACTCTTCTAAAACTATCAAACCTTGCCAGCTAAGATCATCAAACCACCTTAGGCGGGTTTAAAGGGTTAGTTCACCCAAAAATGAAATTTCTGTCGTCATTTACTCTCGAGTTGAGCCACCAAATTTGAACACAAAAGATGTTTTGAAGAATGTTGGTAACCAAAAATGTTACGGTAGCCGTTGACTTCCATAGTTTTTTTTTCTCTCCATAACATGGAAGGCAATGTCTATCATCAACTGTTTGATAAAAAAAATGGTTAATGGTAGCCATTGACTTCCATAGTCCCTTTGTGCTTAACAGAAGAAAGAAACCCATACAAGGACTTAATTTTCATTTCTGGGTGAACTATCCCTTTAATTAGTTTTTTGAAATTGCAAATATAATTGTACAAGTTAAAACTTTATTTACAATTCTGTATAAATAATCAACAGTATTATTCTAGTATATGTGCTGCATAACCAAGGTATGGCCTAAAAAATATTGATAGATTATTGCTATGGCAGTCTGGAAAAGCTAGTTTCTTCAAAAGACCTCATAACATCTCACTTTTCCATTGAACACATGCATTCATGCATTTGCTTTGTTTTTGGATGAGTTGGCCGGCGGGGCGGTATCGTAGGCCGCATGTTGTGGCGCCATCTACAGGTGTGCTTTCTCTTTTTGGTGAAGGGGTTTCATTTTCACTAACTGCAATAATCTCAATTCTCTCTCTCTCTCTTGCTTCTTCAGATGTATGCCAATGCTGAGGTATTTGATTTTTTTTTTTACTTTATTTTTATTTTTTAATCAATTAATAAATTATTATTTAAGCAAATAATCTACTACAATGCTTTGTTGCTGAATTGACTCATTTGCTACCTGCTATACTTACTGCAATCAACAAAACAAGACCAGGAACAGCTTTTATGCATTTATATGCTAGAGGTTATTAATGCCACCAAGTAAATAATGTGTTATTTTATTAAGAAATGTTCTGGGAATTTTACTTAACCATCCAAATTACTTTCTAAATGTGTTGTTCCTTAGCTTGCTTGAAGCTTAAGTTAATAAAGGGAAGTTGGCAGCAGAGAGCTAATGATTTATAGTTTATTCTTTATTGTGTTAAATGTATGTATTTACTTGTTTAACCAGGAAGGTCCCATTGAGATCTCTTCTACCAGGGAGTCCTGGTCAAGATAGGCAGCAAAGGACAAAGCTACAAAGAAATACACATAAAAACACAATTTTCTAAAAACAATACAAATCCTAGTCAGTTGTTAAAACATGGACACTGTTCTATGTAAACAGACTTTAAAATATTTTTAAACATAGCCAGAGATGGTACAGAGTCCATATGTAATGTACCTTCCATACATACATATGCATAATTAGAAAAAGCAGAACGACCTATCTCTGTATGAAAAATCGTCATCTTACATAAGAGTTTATCTGTTGATCTGGTATTATCTGTGCAATATGTCAACAAACTAGATATACACTGTGGTAATTTATCCACTAAAGCTTTTAAAATAAAAAAATAACATGTTTTTTTCTCCTTAAGCCCAATGAAGTCCATTTTGTCATTTCATATAAATTACAGTGATGTGTGCGGGCACTTGTATCAGTAACAAATCGTAAAGCAGCATGATAAACTACATCCAATTTTTTCAAAACATTCAGAGGTGCATTAATATAAATTATATCACCATAGTCCAATACTGATAGAAGAGTACTTTCTACTAAACGTTTTCGAGCAACAAAGGAGAAATATTTTTTGAACGAAAATAAAAACCTAACGTCGGTCTCGATTTCTTTAAAAGACTATCGATATGAGAACTATAAGTCAGTTTATCATCGAGCCAGATACCAAGATATTTGTACCATTTAAAGTTTGAATCATAAAATCATTTAATGATAATCTGGACTGTGTAAAAATCATGCATTTAGTTTTTTTAAGTTACCAAGAGAAGTCTGAAATGAATTAAAAGCATTCTGGGTCCATTGCCACTTTTAAAGATGGAGCCATAGTGTGGATGATAGTATCATCTGCATAAAAGTGTACATTTGCTGGCTCAAC